TGTCATATAATTTTTTTTATGAAGTCAATGCATATGAGATGCAAATGATGATGCAGACTCAGAAATCCTATACTTATGACACATGGGTATACGGTCTAGTGGCAGTTTAGGTTTGAACTCGTAAACGGTTTTAGAAGGATTTAAACCAAGGGTGCGGGTCACTGAATCAAGGTATACAAGTCCAACTGTGAGGTGTTTGGGTAGGGAGGCTCCAGGGGCTAGATCTAGAACATATGAAATGCCACTAATCGGGGTTAATGGATCGGGAAGATCATCAGATAAGACCTCAACAAGTCTACTAGGCATGGGCTGACTCTCCTGAGAGACTGATTCGTCAAACTCAGTGGGAGTCTCACAATCAACTAAGGTTTGTAAAGGTACGCTTTGGGTTATGGCGGCTATCAGGTTCAGTCCCTTCTTGGCTTTAACAGGGTTGGATTTAGGATCATCCGTAACCCGAGGCTATGATGGCAAAAGCTTGATCTTTTTGCCCTCATGTTCAAACTCGCAGATGTTTGAACAACTATAGATGTGGACATCGTTGTAAAATAGCCAGGGATGACCTAGAAGGATTTGTCCAACATTCATAATCAACACATCACATCAAACATTCTCCTTATAGCTAGCGAAGGAGACGGCTATGAAGCTTTGTTCCTTTACCTCCAAGGCAGTGGTGTTGACCCAAGATACCTTATAGGGGTTGGGGTGGGGAACGACAGACAGGCCAAGCTTAGACATCATGCTGGAGGAGACAACATTGATGCAGCTGCCACTATCCACAACGACCTTACAGTTCTTATCCTTGATTTTGGTGTAGGTGTGAAAGATTGTAGTCCCACGTCAGTCGTCGGTGTTAACGGGTTGTGACAGTGCACATCTCACCACGCAGGTGGGAGAAGTGTCAATTTTCTGGATGTACTGAATGACAACAGTGTCATCATCCTCCTCAAAGAATTCACCATCGTTGTCCACTTGGTGAATCTGTTCGACTTCGGGCTCAAATTCCTCTTTAGTGGTCTCTTTGATAATCGTGACTTTTTAGGGACTAGAGCACTGAGAGGTGATATGCCCATACCCTTGACATCTAAAGCATTTGGTATCGGGATTGGACCGAGGGGTATCGGAGTGGGAGGTTTACTTCTAACATCAGGACGGGGAGTGAAGGAACCAGGTGAGGGTCGGGTAGCACTCCCTGGGGTCGGATGGGCTGTGGGGGTGTGAGGGGTGGAACTACCAGAAGGTTTGTAGGAAGGCCTAGAGTCGTGGTGTCGACCAGGGTGTTGGGAACAGGTTTCCTCGAAGTCTAACACTAAAATGTAGGCATTTTCAAGGGTAGTGATGTTTCGGGCGAACTGCTTGTTGCGAAGATCCTCTTGTAATCCGGTACGAAACATGGATAAGATCTGTGCGAGGGTGGTAGAGGTCTCCCCTTTGCAACGAATCAGATAGTCGTCAAAAGATGCAATGTAATCCTTGACCAGTTTGTTGCCCTGTGTCAGCCTATTCCACCTATACAACTACCTAGGGAAGTATGAGGGAGGCAAGTACTTATGCTTAAGTTCACGCTTCATAGATGGCCAATCAGTGATGGGGTAATCATTCCTGACTTCCCTAAGGCTCTCTAAGTTGGCTCAAAACTGACTCGCCCTACTCGTGAGTTTCATCTCGGCAAAACTAACATTCCTAGCCTCATAGATATTATACCACTTAAAGAAACTGTCCATACCTTTGACCCAGTCCAGGAAGAGTTGGGGATCGAGAGTGCCATCAAAGGTAGGAGCATTGACTTTAATGTTCTTCATAAGTGGTATGTCGGGATCATGACAAGAGTCATTTCAAAGTGAGGAACTCGATGATTGGCACGATGCGACCTCATCTGGGTAGGTATCATCCCCATACATTGAAGGTGGCCTAGATGGGGTTTAGGGAGTATGATGTTCTCTAGATTTCTCAAGTGTGTCAAAGCGTTCGGTGGTGTCTCTACAAAGCTAGGCTAGGTCGGCTTGGTTCTCTTTGAGTTGCTGGCTAATGTTGTTCTTTTGGCCTACCAACAAGTCTAAAGTCCTGCAAAGTTCTTTTGGATCCATAACTAGATAGTAGGGGACACTAGGAGAGGAATCTAGAAGGAAGACAACACCTAGATGCGAAGATAGACTCTCTAGAATGACACTAAACGATGCAGAAAATGTTTGGACATCAAACTACAACAAGGCGTTAAGTATTCTAGCCTTCTAGGTGACTAGGGAAGTTGTCAAATTGAGGGCAGTACCTAAATACTTAAGAGACAACCTAAAACTCACTAAATGGGTGTAGAAATTTTTTTGGACAGCAAAAGAACAATGATTTAAAATAATTTAAACGATGAAATGCATGTAAAATTAAATAAGCATGAATAAGCAATAGCCCAGGATGATTTCTAGCATGAATATCTTAAGCTAAACCATGCTCTGATACCAGATGAGATATTATGCTAAGCTTTTTAATGAAGATTGTGAGAATATGATTGATTTTAGTGGCATTAGCACTTTAAATGAAAATAAAGATTTTTATTTTTATTGGCGTATTAGTAAAATTGAAGTTAGAGAGGCTTTAAAGAAAATGAAATGTGGAAAAACTAGTGAACTTGATGATAATCCAATAGAGGTGTGGAAATGCTTAGGAGATGAAGGAATTTCTTTGCTTACTAAACTTTTAATGTTATTTTGATCACTGAAAAGATGCCAGATGAGTGAAGAATTAGTATGTTGATTCCTATTTTTAAGAATAAAGGTCATGCACAAAATTGTGCGAATTATAGAGGAATTAAGTTGATGTGTCATACTTTAAAACTTTGGGAGAGAGTTATGGAGCATAGGTTACGACATGATACTAATGTTTCTCAAAATCAGTTTGGATTCATGTCGGGTAGGTCTACTATGGAAGATATTCATTTATTGAGAGAGTTGATGGAGAAGTTTAGAGAGACTAAGGAGGATCTACATATGATATTTATTGATTTAGAGAAAGCATATGATAAAGTTTCAAGAGAATTGCTATGGAGAGTTCTAGAAAAGAAAGTGGTTAATAATGCTTATATTCAAGTCATTAGGGATATGTATGCAGGAAATGATATTTGTGTTCAACCACAAGGTGGTTTGACCAAGTATTTTACTATTTAAGTTGGATTACATCAAGGATCAGCCTTAAGCCCTTATATTTTTGCTTTAGTCATGGATGTTCTCACTAGACATTTGCAAGACGATGTACCTTGGTGTATGCTTTTTATTGATGATATTCCTCTTGTTGATAAGACTAGAGAGGGAGTTGAAGGTAAACTCAAATTATGGATGTCAACCTTAGAGTTTAAAGGTTTTCATTTGAGTAGATCTAAAACCGAATACATTGAGTATAATTTTAGTAGTAATAGATCTAGTTGGGGGGGTTGTGACTTTGAGTGATCAAGTCATTAATAAGTGTACTCGTTTTAGATATATTGGGTTTGTTGTTCAAAGTGATGGTGAAATGGATGAGGATATTATTAGTAGAATTCAAGTTGGATGGTTGAAGTGGAGTAATATTTCGGGTTTATTGTGTAATAGAAAAGTACCACTCAAGCTTAAGGGAAAATTTTATAAGGTGGTGGTGAGACCTGCAATGCTTTATGGCGCAAAATTTTGGCCATTAAAAGAGAAGCATAATATTAAGTTAAGTGTTGCTGAAATAAGGATGCTCAGGTGGATGAGTGGACTTGCTTTTAGAGACATGATACGAAATGAGCATATTTGGGAAAATGTTGGAGTAGTTCCGGTGACAGATAAGATTAGAGAGAGTCGCGTTAAATGGTTTGGTCATGTAAAATGTTGGCCCATTTAGGAGAGTAGATGCATTATATTTGGACTATGTTAAGAAAGGTAGAGGTAGACCTAAAAGGACTTAGTTAGAAAATATTAGAAATGACATTTTTTATTAGATTTAAATGAAAATTTTACTCTTAACATGACACAATGAAGAAAAAGGATTCATGTAGCCAACCACACGTCGTGAGATAAAGACTTGATGTTGTTGTTGTTGAATTAGTTTTTGTTTATGGCTGTTTAGGATGGTTTATCTTAACCAAGCATTTACTTGTAGAGATGACAATTTCTTGGTTGTTGTATAAAGCTATTTAACTTAAATTTTGGCATAAGAACATTATTTATTGTCTATAATGAATTAGGTTAGGAAGACAAGTACCCCTTGCTGTTTTCATTCTTAGTTCTTAGAAATCATTTAACGGGGAAAGTTCTAGCAATTTTTTTGGCCGCTAGCTTTTGTCGGCAAGAATTTAGCATTGATATTTTTTAACTCTAAACTTATAGGGTATCAAAGATAATGGTACCAGATTTTAAGCTCTCCTAATAAGCACTTTTAGGTTGGAAATCAAAGAATTAAATATATGGTTATAAATGAAAGAAAAAATTGTAATAAAATTATAGTTAAAGAATTTTTATATCTAATATGTTTAACCCATATTGTATACCTAAGAGATTTTAATGGGGTTGCTGGCATTCTGTTAAAAAATTAAAATCATGGCATATGACAAAACAGAGGCTTCTGGAAATTTTCATGCTTAGTGCGCATAAGCTTTTCAATACTACGCGAAGGAAAAAGTTATTGTCGAAATTATTGTAGAAATTTTCATGCTTAGTGGACGTCAGCTGGTAAAAGTTTTAAAAATTATTGTCGGAATTCTATGATTGAATTTTTGTTTTACATCCCCCCGCCAACCAACAAAAAAAAAACAGTTATCAGCTGCTGAGGCCTGTTTTTTTATATATTTAGCATAATCTTTCAATATCCACGCATTTCCCAGACTGGTAAAAGCATGGTTTCAAATAATTTCAATGTCTATTAAATCAATTCCGATTGCTCTCTCATTCATGTTTCCTAAACAGAGAAATGTTCACTATATTCATTCTTTGCGTCCAAGAACCTGAGACATTCTGTTTAATTATTTTCTGACTTCATTTATTCCTCTGTAGGATCTACTTGGTATAGGTGAGTACAGACCTGGCGTAAAGATGTGAGTGCGACTTGTGTAAGAAGTTACTCTACCTTCATCTTCTAACGCAACACACTTTCCTCCCTAAATCATTTAAAAATTAATCTTCAGTTGTATGCCACATTAATTCTCATCTCCAATCGTGCTTTATCTAAGACCACAAAAAGAGGAGCCAAATAAAGGGTAAAGCGGAGAATTATTGAAGCAATGCACATGTTATGTTCATGTCTTCCTACAGTTTCTTCAAAACATAAACTAAACATTGTGATGGGAAGATTCGTTCACTGTTTGTTCTCAGGCTTCGTTTGAAACGGTGTTCTTACTGCTTCTTAAAGCAGTGTTTTAATACAAAAATTAAAATTTTTATACTAAAAAGTTGTTTTAGAAAACAATTAAAAAGCTGTCCAAACGAAACTCCAATCTCTAGCAGAACTTAGTTTTTGGCCACATATGACTGATTCCAACCCGTTGATTATTAGTTTATATCAGATCCGTTTACTGCCCACCCATTAGAAAAGCAAAAGCAGAAACCTAATCCATTCTCTTCTTTTTCTTCAACTGGATTCCCTCTTTTCCATCCTTTATGCATCAAACGCAAATCAAGACTGGTAGCTTAATAAAAGAGGCCACTTTCTTAGTCTCTTAATTTTTTTCTGGAATGCTTGGCGACAATTATCATCAAGCAGTATCATATGTTAGTATCTTAGACTCAAATTTAGTTAAAATTGACTTTATATCTATCTCATTTACTTGATATTAGTCTAATATACATTTAGTGCTTATGATGTCCATACTAATCAAATTTAGATCTTGATGTTTTAATTCTCTAATATTATAATATGGCTTAGGGTTAATTTTTATTGTTCCAAAATGATTAAGTAGGTGGCGTTGATGGGGACCAAAATCACCATGGGTTATGGGAAATACTATTTCCATTGATTTGAATGTCTAGCAGACTAGCAGCATGTGACTTTTTTCTGTATATATTTACAAATTTACTATTGCTAGCAATAACTGAGATTGAATTCATAAAAATAGCATTTTCTCAGTGACTCTAGGGATCGTTTCTCTTGGAATGTAAAGACCAGTTTTCATTGATTGTCTTATCAAAACTTTTTAGATAAGTGTCTATTGAAGAGGAAATTATTCTCTGCGATCACCGGATGATGTCTAGAGGTGAATCAAGACGTGTCATGTCATTTTTTTTGTTATATATCGGATGATGTAGCGCATCTTGATTCGCCTTCGGACGATCAGGTGAGCGCGTAGAATAATTTCCTCTATTGAAGATTTAAAGACGTTCAGATGTAAATCAATATTTTTATAGAAAATATTTCCAGAATAATTCATATAATAATCGCTTGGACATTCATATTTTCTCAGTAAATGGATAAATATCATTCAGAGTAGAGGCTGCTTGCAGAGTTCAAGGTTGAATTCGGTGCATTGGTCAAAAGAAAGAAAGAAATATAAAAAAGCATGCTTATTTCTTAATTAAATATGATGGCCTTTTCATCGAATTGGCATATTATTCTTTCAAGTTGATATAATAGTAATTAAAAATTGAAGATATCAAATGGCTATTTGCTCTATTTCTTGTTTCTGTCTGATGACTTTTCTTAATCTCTTTCCTTTTACGTATCTTAATCGTCTTCAACATCATAATTATAATATGATACACCAACTTAACTAATCTTTTTTGACCTGACTCTCGTGAAGGGACTATTTGATACGGTTTCAACTTTGCTTTCTCACTTGTGGAATTGACGATATGACAAATTACTTCATTTTGATAGAGTTAACCTCGTAATTGTTTGAAATTAAGGCTTCATTTTGGACGGTTTTCTTCTGCTTCTTAAAGCAGCTTTTTGGTACAAAAATTTAAAATTTTTATTAAAAAGTTGCTTTAAGAAGCAGAAGAATGCTGTTTCAGATTTCGGAGAAATTGGTTGTGTGGGTGGACTTGGAATTTCAATGTTGTAAGTAAATAGGGTAATGATAAATTATGAATGTTCTATTTTGAAAATATTATAAAAAGAAATATCAATATTTTGTTTATTATATTTATTGATATATTGTTTTTTATATTTAGGGATAAATTATATCATGAATGAAATCTTACAGAATAAATAGGATTGTTTTTATAATGTCAATTATAACATAATAATTAAATCGAAATTATGTCTACTTTATAAATTTTATTGATGGAATTTTAAAGTATTTGTCAATTTATATGAAATAATGTGAACACTAATTCCATTAAATTATATCCCTAAACGTAGCTATATCAGATCCATTCAATTTATCTAATTTGATTCGCGTCAGCCTAAAATAGTTTTATAAAGTTTGGCCTTGGCCTTATTTGTTCTGATAAATTTATTCTGAATTGATTTAATCCCTCACAACAAAACTTAACTAATATTAAATAAATACCACTCAAATCCGTCGACAGTTATTGTGTAATAAAAAGTAAGAATACTATATATAAATATATATTTCTTCGCTTTAACAATTTGAAATTTATTTACAGAACTATAAATTTCCATCAACTCAAATAAATTGATTTAGAATAAATTTCAAATTTAAATCCGAACAAATAAATCGATTTTTTTTTACTCATCCTATTATCTTTTTTTTTATGTGTTTTGTGCAAAAAAAAAAAAAAACATGACGGAGGAAAATTAGTGACCTCACCGTTGGCAATTTTCTTTAAGCTTTCATAACATAGCATAAAAAGTAAAACCTGACATCATCAATCCAAAGTTTTCATCATTATTTCTGCTCTTTAGTCCTTCAATTTGATCATCTGCTTTGATAAATTAAACCGCTCCAACAGAAATCTGCATCACCTTAAATATATTTTTCTCATCCGCATCTGCATCTGCAGCTAATAATTTCTCATCCACACAGCACAAAATAACAATAAGAAAATGACATCTTCCACACCACCAGCTACAGCTCCTCCATTACTACATCTCATCACATTCATCAAAAGTACTTCCATAGAAGTGAAAAAGAAAACCAAACATAGTCAGCTACCAAACTTTGTCTTCCTCCCTCCATCAATAAACTCAACTACCTTTAACCAAAAAAAAAAAAATTCAGACTATGGAGCCCAAATCCCAGTTCTCAATTTTAGCCAAAGTTTCATGAATGAATAATACATTTCCAAATAAAAAGGATAAAACTTTCCTACTTACAAACGTCAAAATAACTCCCCTTTGCTAAAAAGGAACAATCTTTCTTTCAATACAGAATCAAGGTTTGTCAATCATGTCACTGCTATTGGCAATCCGGCCGGAGCCGCGGCTGCTCATCTTTCCAAAGGAGCCCATGGCAGAGGAGAGGCCTTTGAAGCTGCTACTCCCTTCACTTAAACTTATGAATCTTGATCTCCTCAGCTTTGGAGAGATATCTTTACTTATATCTTCGTTTATCTCAGACTTGGCCGCGGCTAACCGAGCTATGTTGCTTCTGCAGAAGGGACAGAGCGGCGCAGGCGGACAAAGAGTTGCAGGATTGGGCTTGTTGTGGCAACACAAGGCTAAGGTGCACTGAGCACACATTTGATGCCCGCAGTCCTGAACCTCAATTGTGCAGGCTTGTTCAAAACAGATGCAGCAGAGCTCGATGCCGCTTCCCTGTAATTAATGGTTATTAAACAAAGAAATTTATGAGATTAAGCTAAATCCTATTAGTTCTTGGACTCGCATATCTAATGATTAGTATTGCTTATCATTGTACGTACAGATTGATGTGAAAAGCAGGAAGGGAAACTACCTCGGATTTGTCATCATCAACTATACTATGTTGAGGGGATGGCAATGAATAAACAAATCCTTTTAAGATCTTGTCTTCTCTTTTCTTGTTGGCTTCTATGAGGGCTGTCTCCAAGAGAAGCTTCACATCTGGTTTGAGCTCGCTGATGAACTTCAATGGAGAAGGCCATACTAAAGGTTCTGCTGAAGATGGATTCAGCAAAGCAGCACACATGTGATTTCTCTTCAATGCAATGACATATGGTATTCTCCTGCAAATACCATTAATCGTAATATTGTTTCTATCATCCTCTGAAGACTCTTCCTAACATCGAAAAATAAGAAATTTAGGGGATTTTTACCCTGCTGAATCCATTTGAAGGCGATCAGCACCCCAAGCAAGCAATTCACGAACAGAATCTATGCAACCTCTGCGAGCTGCCAAATGAAGGGGGGTGCTTCCAGGGGAACTGTAGAGATGAATGAGTCTTATAAATCAATCTAACATATAATTTCAATACTTCAAAGTTCAGAAACTCAAAAACTAACAGAACAAGAGCATACGGAAATTCATTGAAGTTACCCGTAGTCAACGGTAGAAGCACAGACAAGAGCTCCTTTATCCAATAGCATTCTGACGCAGGCTGACCGACCTTGCTTCGCAGCAAGATGCAATGGCGTTGCCCCCTTGGCATCCTTCACATTAACAAAACGGGCAAATCCCCTAATGTTTGAGAAGGAAAAGATTAAAAGAAGACCGAAAGATTGTTAGAAATTGCAAAGAAATCCGAATGATCCGACTTATAAGATTTTTATCACTCTGTACCAGGATTCCGAAATCGGGTTGGAGTGGGCAGCCTCAAGAACTGATTCTAAACAATCAGAATGACCATAGTAGGCTGCATAGTGTAAGCATGTTCTTCCATTCACCGAATCAAACATCAAGATCTGAACGTAAGGGAAAATTAAAAGTTCGTCGATCGATGAAAGCGGATAACAGAGAAACGCAAAAGAAGATAGAAAAGAAATCCTACGTTTGCTCCCGCCTGAAGGAGTTTCTCCACGCAAGCAATCTTCCCACGCATAGCGGCCAGCATAAGAGGAGTCTTCGGAGCAAAATCACAGCATATCAGATTTTGATCGCAGAATTAAGAAAAAGATTCGATTTTTTCGTCTCCTGTTACCTGTTTGTGCCGGTTGAGAACGTCGGGGTGATTCCATCGCTCCAAAAGCATTGAAAGCATCTGAAAACAATGTTAACGAAGCTATCAAGGATTGAATGAGAAATGAACCGCCTTTGGAAAGATCTCGTCAATAAAAAAGGGAAACCTCGTCGTGCCCATTTGCAGCGGCGATGTGGAGGGAGGAGAGGCGGCCGTAAGCGGTAGTTTTATTGATGATTCCGGGGTCTATACGGAGGATACGTTCCACTAATTGGAGCTCGCCGAACTGAACGGCGGCGAAGAAATTTGGTTTGATGCTCGGCTGGCCGCAGCTCAACTCCTGACCCATCTTCCACAGCAAGCTCCGCGCAGTTCGAGTGATTCCAACTCCAGCGACTCGTCGACGGAGCGACGGAGCGGCACAGAATAAGGGGACAGGGGTAGTATGCGCCGCTCGCCGGCGAGAGTGCTTAATAAGCCACGACGTTTCGGACCACGGGACCAGAAACAAAGGAAAGACAATGCGCGTCCTACTGAGCAGATTTATTAATCAGCATTCGTTTCGACCGGTAAGATAACCGTATTATTTCGCATCATAATTATTTAGAATAATGAAAACAAATACTTTTTAAAAATAAATTATGTTAATTTGGAGTCGACTTTCTCTTAATTAATCAGAAAAACTCAAATATAATTTTGAGCAGTTCAGATATAAAAGTTGAAATATTTCAATATAATGTGATATATAATTATTTTTAAGCATTTTTCATCATTTATCATAAATTAAAATATATTCCATTTTAATAATTATTTTTTGTTTTCTCCAAAATAATTTTCATTAAATAAAAAAGTGCCATTTAATTCTGTCATAAAACTTACATTCTAGATTATTTTGCATATAAACTTCTGACAACCCTCTTCTACTTACAATCACTTAATAAGCAAAATAAATTTCAAAAAATAATTTATTTTTTAATGATTGATTAAAATTCACTTAATAGTAATGATGATAGAGAAGACTAACGAATAAGAAGATTTAATTATTTAAATGGGCAGCATCATTTGCCTTCCTACTCACCAATTTAAAACATTGATGTTTCTCTGATAATTATGCACCGACAAACTTTGATATAAATATTTACTCTGTTTAATATTTTATAATTTCTATTAATTTTTAATTATAAAGCAAATTATAACAAAGTAGTTATTGTTACCAGGGTGATCGTAACCATTACGATGTTTAAGGCCTCCCGAAATCGATACCGAGTTGAATATATTGTAAGGAAAGTGGTGGGTCCTCCTGCGGGCAGCGCGGTCAGATAAAATGGTCCGAAAACTAAGGCTATGATGACTCGACTCCAACAGATATTTTTGCGGAGAAAATCAGATTCCCGTCGAGAAGTCACCGCGGCCGAATCCGATTCACAAATACGGAAGCACCGTCAGGTCATTTTTAGTGTTAATTAATTGGGGTAACTTTATCGTAAATTTTTTATTTTTTTTTTAATCCTAATTTATACGAATTAAACTCCTCCTGCGCTGCTGCATATCAAAATTTATTTTATTTTATTTTATTTTATTTCACCAATTAGGCAATTACTTTGTTCGAGTGAAATTATTATTATTTTAATAAATGTACACTTATCAAATCGAGTTATTTAATTATTTGTTTTAAGAATAATGCTTTAAAGTAATAAGTAGTGCTGCAAGCTACAATATTTGAGGAATTAGAGAGAATTTAATAATTTGAAAAATGCCTGTTAGCTAAATGTTGGTTACGAAAATCACTTATCTCCAAAATTGGAGGTAAGGAATAAAAGAGTTTGAATTATTGGTGAAAAATGTCACTAAGTCACTAAGGGGTAGAAAGATTGGATGATTATGGTTGGGTGCGGAGATTCAATGATCATTGTAGTTTGACAATGTTTGCCACAGTTCAATGATGGTGGTTCGACATGGTGGTCTAATGCTGGGCATTGGTGGGTAGCACAAAAATGGGCTTTGTTATTGCCTAAATCCCAAATTGGAAGAATTGTATATTTTCTATCTTCTAAATTAAAGTCAGAGCTACTAATTTCAATTGAAAGCAAAATAATCAAAAAAAAAAAAACTCTATTTATCAAAACATCCATATACAATTATATTATTCCCCAAAAAATTAGTTATAATAACCCGAAGTTTAATGTATTACGTCTACTCTTATCAAAACTTCTTGCTACAAAAGAAGAATAACAAAAATAAAATTAACTCTGAAAGTCTACACTATGATCAACCTCACAACATTGGATCATTTGCTAGACTTGAAAATCAATAAAATCCACATAATGACTATAAAGCCTAGTAGATAATCAAAAATTACAATTGTGCTTAAAGCACGGAAAGGAAACAACATGCATGCAATTATTCAAATAAAAACAGTGGCATTTGGTATGACAATAAATCTATGTAAAACAGTGAATTTGAAAATCATAAGTTGTAAAAATAGTACTAGTGCGGAAACTAGAACAATAAAGCTATAAATCAATGAAATCATCTGTGCATTATCATCAAATCCATAAGAAGATCACATTAGTAAAGAGATCGTATCAATCATCAAAGCCAAAAATCTATGCAACTTTTTTGGAAATTCATAACAATGAAAAAGGTGATATCATTTATGTAGTTATATCATATAGAATCTACACATGTTGGTTCATCAATAGTATCTTGTCTTTGTATGATCACATTTATATCTTATTTTTAAAATCAATATCATATCGGTAACAATACATGTATGCATGTATAAGCAACTATATTAAATAAGGAGTTATGATTTGTGTGATGATTTTCATAATCGTCCCTGTATCATGTTCATTTTAATATCTTAATCTTAAATTTAATAGTCAAGTAGCTTCTTGAGAGTCTTTCACTCTTGTCCATCATCATCTTAACTCGTTATAACTTTTAATCTTGATCTTGCTCAAGCATATCACCACAATCCTTATTTTACGAAAATTTTGTCAGACCACCTTCCTGTAGAATAGAATCGATCTTCAACCAATCTATCTTAATTAAAAGCATTTTTGTTTAATATAATTAATAACAATGAACAATTATTCATTCAAAGTGCAGTTATTTATTAAAATTGCTTGTTTCATTAGGATGCTCATATCAGGATACAAAAATCAATATATATCTTATTCCTAATCAAATCATACAAAATGCAATAAATAACATTTCAATTGATGAAAATACAAAATCATCTAATCAAAATGACCATAATAATTAGTAATATAATATATCAAAAGTTATGCAGTGGTAGTTTACTAAATCATGAGAAAATATAATAAATATCGATTTAGATAAAAGAATAAATCACATAATCAAAATATTTGAAAACAGAGGTAAGATAGAAGTCACCTACAATTATCAAAATAATTTTCGTAATAGGAATGAAAGACAAAAAATCCCAAAAGTCCTTTTATTTATTCTCTCTCTCTCTCTTCTCCTTCTCCTTTTCTTCTCTTTTGCTTCTACCTTTCCTTCTCTGACAAGCCAAACAAGGAGGGGGAGGAATGACTAAGTGGACAAAATTATATTAAAAAATATGATTTAGCACCCAGCAATGCGGGGATCCTAACCCGGTGCTATAACACTGCATACCCAATCCATAGTTACTATAGAACAGGGAGCTCAGCGCAGCACCGTCAAATAACAGTGCCCCGATGATGTTCCCCCCAGAGTTGCTTCTCTCGAAAGCACTGTGTCACAATGTTCCAATTTAGAATTTTCAGATTATTGAAATAAATAAAATTTTAAGAACTTTAGGATATTAGAGAGTTTGAGGAGTGTTCTGATAACAACAAATGGGTAGTGGTTCGACGATAATGATCGGCAATTCCAATGATGACTATTAGGTGGTGGATTGATGACATCAGTTGGAAGTTGTCTAACGGGGCAGTCAAGTTGTGGTTGGTTAGTGGTGCTTGAGTGAAACTTTAAGATTCTTATAGTTTTTTTGCTCTTTAAAATCTCAAGTCAAGAATTCCTTTTATGTGTAGCCCTATGATTTATTAATAAATTTTAAATGTGACATTCTCTATAAGTATGGTCAAAATCAAAGCAATCAATTAGACGACTCATATTAATTCTATTTATTATAAATAGTTCTTTCAATATTTAAGTGAATTAATGATGTCCAAATTAAGTGATATTGGACTCATTAGATTAATCTCATCAAGATGCTCGATTTGACTATAAGTATACAAGATTTTTGAGATTCTTCAATTCACTGATTACAACAATAACAACAACATCAAGTCTTTACCCCACTATGTGAGGTCAGCCACATGAATCTTTTTCTCTGTTGTGTCATGTTAAGAGTCAAACTCTCATTTAATTCTAATAAAGAAAAGTCATTTATAATATTTTATAAACAAGTCTTTTGTAATATCAAAAATCTGCTCCAGGATCGTCCAGGACGATCTGGATCGTCCTGGGACGATCTGTGGAATTTCTGCTCCAGAATTTGCCCAGTTTGGCCCCAGGTGATTTTCTGTACATATCGTGCAGACCGGTTTGGACATCGGCCAGGCCGATCGGCACTGTAGAAAA